AATTGATGGTAAACCCAAAAAGAAAGAGGGGGTTTGTCAGTTTAAATGGAAACTTTCTAAACAGTGAATGTGTGCACAATAAAATTCAATCCAAAGTTTTCTGCAGCTTCGTATAACTGGGTGGTGGTTGTGATCATCAAACAGGATTCTCCCACACCTCTTGGAAGAGCAGAGTGCCCATGAGTAACTTCCTGATCCCTCTGATGGAAGGTGGAAGGATGGGGCATTACCATTCTGAAGGGGTGGAAACGTGCCCCCTCCTGGCTAGCTATGTCTCTGTCCCTTATGGAGGGAGACCGTCGTCCACTGACTGGTGTTCTTTGGGGGTTTGGCGTGTATACAGTCTTGTGATAAATGTGAGTTGTGTCCGTGTGTTACCGAGGGCCCTGCAGAGAGGCTCTCGGGGTTCTTCATTTTAAGCTGGGTTTGTGGCTTTTTATCAACTGGTGAAAGGCATCAGCTCTTCCTGTCTTCCCTCTCCTTTCGGAAATACAAAAGCAGATGTTTAGAAGGAACGTCTTGAGATGCCGTGTTGTGTTCCCCGTGAAAGTGAGTCGGGTGTGCGTGTGCACCCGAGTACCTCGTGCTTGTGTGCACAGGAGGGGGGCCTGCCTGTCCCGTGTCCATGAGCTGCGCAGTGCCCACCTGCTCCATGCTCCTGTTGCGAGCAGCACTTCCACGCTCCCTCGCCACTCCACCCCGCATCCTGCTGTACCACAGCTCGTGAATAAAGCCGTGTGCTTCCTTCCCAAGTGCCTCTGTGCTTTCATTTCTTGCTCCCAGGTTTCCTTCGCCAGGTTCAGTGGCGTAAACCTATAGTCCCAGCGGCTCAGGAGGCTGAGGCAGGAGGATGGCAAGTTAAAAGGCAGCCTCAGCAACTTAGCAAGACCCTGTCTCAAAAATAAATAAATAAAAATAAATAAATGGGCTGGAGATGAGCTCAGTGGGAAGTGCCCCTACATTCCATCCCTGGTACAAAAAAAAAAAAAAAAAATACCATTCTGACTTCCAAGAACCAAAACAAAACCAGAATGAACCCAAAACCCTGGGAATGCATTTCTATCACATAAGTTAGAAGGTAGCTCAACGCATTTTTTTCCAGTTCTGTTTGTTGAATGATCCAGACATTGACCAAGCTGACAAAAGAAGGGAAAATTCTTAGTCCATCTATCACACTGTGAAAATGTAACCAATGCATGGTTCCGTTTGTGACACAGCGGTGACAGCTTCGTCATTGGAACAAAACTGAGAATTTGTAGAAGCTGCAGGACAACAGCTTGTGAGTTGTCAAGCTGAAATGCACCAGGAGAAAAGCGTCTTCAGATCTTTGGATTCCTCCGCATTATCAAAATTGACATGAAGAAAATCTGGATTTCAGTTTATTGGATTTCAAGCTTGCCGGAACATACTCAAGATGGCCTGCTTCGGCCATAGCCTTCATCCTGTGTGTGGAGTCTGTGCAGGGGCCTGTCCCACCTGCACTCACACAGACCCTTGCCTGGGTGCAGGACTCAGGTTGTTTATTCCTGTAGAGACAGGCCAGGAACATTGTTCTACTCAGCTCTGCTTCCACCGCACCAACACTGGTCCGTAACCCCCTCCGCCAGGAGTTGTTTTTAGTTCTATTATGAGTACCTGTGGCATTTGGCTTTGGTGGCCACCTTTTTATTGGCAGTTGACTCCTGCCTCACTTCATGGCTACCCCTCCCTCAGAGCAAGCTCACCCACCTTTGATGGGAGTCTAAGGACGTTCATGACCAACCCCTTACTCACCTACCACTTCCCTCCCCTGAGGCCCTGCCCGGAATCTCACCACTGCAGACCACGCCTCTCCCCACCCATTCAGCTTAGCCAGTGACATTTCCTCTATACAGTGTCCAACTCTTCAAGGAGGTGGCCAGGAGAGAAGGCCCCAAGGAAAGGAGGTCATGGCCAGCGTTGATTCTTTAAAACCAGTTTCCCACCAGCTCTGTGGAGCTACCCATGTGGGTTTCCCAGGGGCTCCATTGGCCCTAAATCAAAGACACACACATTCACACCCTTTCCCTGGGCCTGTCTGATGGCCCAGCCCAACCAGCCCCAGCAAATTCTTTGCATGCTTATGGTTGAACCTCACGTTCTGTGCTTGGCAAGTGTTGTCTGGTACTGTTAGCTCTGCGTGTGTTTCTGCTGTTCAGTTGACTCTAGGGAAATCTCCATGTTGAGTGCCAGGCAACCCTTAACCCAGGCAAAGCCTGTCATCTAGTATCTCTAAGCCTCTGTTTACTCCTCTGAAGACTGGACAGTAAATAATACCCATCATAAGATTGTTGCTAAATTATAACATGTTGAGCACTTGGCACAGTACCCAGCACATAGTAACTGCTCAAGAAACTTTAGTGACCTTTATGAAGAGCCATTAGTTACTTAGACTTGAAAAATTCCATAAACTCTCTGAGTCTCAGTGTTTTCAACAGATAGGTTGAGAATGGATACCTGTTCTGGCCATGTTATGGGGCATAGAGGCAAATGATGTTTAAGACGGAGTGTTCAGATGCAGGCAAGTGCTTTATTACTAGAAGCTTTTGGACACTGGTGCTTGGGGAGTTCTGGTGCTTGGACAAGGTCTAATACTGTATTTTAAATAACTTAGAATTTTAGTTTTTCATTCTTAGCTTTCCCATCTGCCATCTTTGCATAGTACCTGAGCATTCAAACAAGCCTACCTCCTCTTTACATTCTCAATAACAGCACCTTCTTCGCCCTGCAATGGTCTAAAGATTGAGATCCCTGGAGGTATGCCAGCTAACAGCACTGAGACCTGAGAGGATCACACAGCAGCTGTGTGCAGGGTTCAGCAGCAAACTGTCTGGCTGAAGTTCCAGCTCTACCAATAAGCAGCTGCCTACCTAATGACAACTTGCTTAATTTCCCCAAACCCTAATTTCCATTTCTATAAAAGGAATAAATAATAATACCTACCTCAGAGGGTTATTATGGAATTCCCATAGAACAAGACCTGGCATGGTACAAAATGAGTTCTCAGACATGAGCTTTTATTAATGAAGTGGCTGCCAAGAAATAAGAACCTACTATTTACCTGGCCCTGAGCCAAGCGTATTATGTGATTTCTTTCTTGATTCCTTATGTTGCTTCTATTTTAGAATTAAGGGA